TCGTGGGTGCGTATTCAGCGTCTGCGCCACCATCACCATCATCGAGCAATAGACAGCAGTGTACTAGATGTATGTTGTTGAAAAACACCAAGGGGCAGAACCAGAAGCGAACAAGCGAGGAACAACAGTTGTTGCGTGCAAAAAGGTCCGCAAATGAATGCAGCAACAGTGACAACGCTAACACATATGTGTGTGAAGAGGAGGACAAGCACGCCTCCAGCAGCAGCAGCAGCAGCAGCAGCAGCACCCAGGGTCACCGTGTGTGCACAGCAGCACCATGGTTCGTTCACGCGTCACTGTCCACAAGACGCGCAATCTCGCTGGCTGCAAGCAGGAATTGACCAACGCAGAAGTCGCTGGTGTCTGTTGCCGTTGCGTTGCCCGGCCCACCGCCGATCGGCTGGCAGTACCCAACGAGCCCGCTGTCGTGCACAGCTTGATCAAGCATGCCCTCCCAAGCGCGCAGGGCGGTGCTCTGGTACGCGTGGCGATCGAGATACCCCGTGTTGATTCCCGCCGCAAGCCCAAACGTAAACAGCGCAGTGCCTGTTGAATCGGCGTGTGATGTGACGTGATGTGTGTGTGTGTGTGTGTGTGTGTTCACGCGTGAGTCAATGCATGGGCACACATCTGAGAGAGAGAGAGAGAGAGAGAGAGAGAGAGAGAGAGAGAGAGAGAGAGAGAGAGAGAGAGAGAGAGAGAGAGAGAGAGAGAGAGAGAGAGAGAGAGTGTGTGTGTGTGTGTGTGTGTGTGTGTGTGTGTGTGTGTGTGTCTCGCATTGCCTGCACGAAGCGAAAAGATGGCAGTGAAGTTATCACCGGTTGTCTCTGGTCCGGGGGTCTCAAGCGGGTCGAGCATGGACGCGTGCCAGAAGCCGCTCTCCGCCTGCAGCTGCACCAGCCTGTCTGCCATAGCCCGCAGCTTGGCAACGTACTCCTGCCTGTGGGGGTCTGTGGGAGCGATCCAGCGCACAATGCGCGTGAGACCGCCCATAGCCCAGCCGTTGCCGCGGCCCCAGAACACCTTCTCCCCGTGCGGCGTGCGCTTGCCAATGTACGTCTGGTCGCGGTAGAACAGCGACTCCTGATGATGGGGGTCATCGTGTGGGGGTACGTGAGGGTACGTGAGGGTACGTGGGGGCGTGGGTGTGAATGAGGGGCGCGCGCGCGTTGTGTGTGTGGGTGGGGGGGGGGGGGAGAGGGGAGAGGGTGTGTGAGAGACATAGTGGGTGAGTGAACGTGCGTGCGAAGAGCTGTTGCCGTTTATGCTCGCCAACTCAAGCACGTAATTGTGAACGAACATAAGCATATACAGACGCAGACACAGACACAGACAGACAGACAGCCACACACACCGTTGGGTCCCACAGCGTGCGGTTCACGCAAGTGTCGTTGTAGAGAAGGAACATCTTGTCGGCAAAGGCCTGGTCGCCGGTGACGTTGTACATGGCCGCCAGCGTTGGCAGACCCATGAAAAACGCGTCTTGGCGAACAAGCACCGCAGGTAAGATGAGTGACATTGCTCTGAAGCAAGCAAATAAGTGGTGCGTGAAGGTTCGTACACAGCAAGCCATCAAGACACACGACACACACACACACACACACTCTCTCTCTCTCTCTCACTCTCTCACTCACACACACACACACTCTCTCTCTCTCACTCGCACAAATTCTCACTCACTCACACACTCACACAAATTCCCTCACTCACACACATATGCAGTGACGCTCACCGATCCACCAATAGTCGTCCACTTTGCTTCTGTTGACGAGGACATCCATGACCTTGATGCTGTTGCTTATGTAGGTGTGGTTGTTGGTGAGCTGGTAGAGCTGCGCAAACGTCTGGCTGTTGCAGTAGTCGTTGGCGGCGGAGATCTCGTCCAACGTGTGCGGGTAGTTGCATGTCTCCCACTTGTACTGCTCGCCCCACTCCAGTGCACGGGCAAAGTATGTCGTGTTGCCGCCAAGCAAATAGTGCGCCATGTTTCCTTTTGTGTGACGTAACAGGTTCGTGCGCGTTGTGTGCATGTGTGTGTTTTTTGTGTTGGTGTATGTTTGTGTATTGCATTGCGTGGTGTGTGTGTGTGTGTGTGTGTGTGTGCGTGTGTGTGTGTGCGTTCGTGTGGAGTGCGTTGTGTAGGTTGCACGTGAGTGCTTGCGAGATACGTCAACAACAGTGTGGAGCACACGCCCTCCGCATACACAGTCGCTGCTGAAACGCAGTTACCTGCATAATAGGTGGCGCGTGTCCAGCCGCAGCTTGGTTTTGGTTTCGAGTTGATAAAGTAGTCGTTCACCTACGTCCCAAAACAAACAAGCAACAGCAAGACAAGTTGAGAAGGGGGAAAGGGCATAAGCGAGCAAAGGCAGGGCTGGGAGTTCTTGAAGGTTGCATCCCATGCAAACAAGCACAACGAGCAACAAGCACAACGAGCAACACACACAGAGACACAGAGAGAGAGACACACACACACAGACACAGACACACAGACACAGACACAGACACAGACACAGACACAGACACAGACACAGACACAGACACAGACACAGACACAGACACAGACACAGACACAGACAGACACACACACCTTGTTCATGACTTGCAGCACTTGCTGCCGGTTGGTTGGTTTTGTTGTTGTTGTCGTTGTTGCGGCTGCCTGCTGTTCTTGCGTGGCAGCAGCCGCCACAGCCAACACAGCGACTATCACAGCCACCACAGCCACTGCTCGCATGGTCATCATCCCCATCCTCGTCCACTGCTGCACCAAAACACCAAAAACACAAACAAAACAGTGCGCTTAATCGGCCATGGAATCCCAGCAATAAAAAGTCAATTAATTTTTGTGGGCGTTTTTGGTGGCAGCAGCGACAACAAACAACCACCCAGACAGACACACCCTCGCTCACCAGCCCTTGCTTCGTTGCGTTGTTTGGTGGTGGTGGTGTGCCTCTTGTCAAGGACTAGCAAGCAAAAGCAAGCAAGCAAGCAAGCAAGCAAGCAACGTCGACAGGTGCACGAAGATATAGCAGCACCATAGGAGGGAAGACCCCAGCCAAATTGATCGTATCCTGGAGAGTAGGCAGCGCGTCTTCATCCCACGACAACAGGCAGGTGCGGATCAATGTGGCAATGCTGTTGTGGTTGTTGGCGTGGTACCTTTGTGGTGTCTTCGGGGTGTCTCCGTGCTGTTGTGTCAACCTACTACGCTGCCCTGCTGCCATAACTGTCATCGTGTGGCGTGCACGTCTCGCAGCCACTCAAGTGCAACCAGCCATCTGCAGGGGCCACTGCATTGCCTCACACAGAGTCACAAGTCCATGCTCACCTGCCACACCACACCATACCACACCACCAACCCCACCTCATGCCTTCTCGACACCCCCCTCCCCCTCCCACACACGCACAACACAGCCATGCCGCTGGAAGGGGGTGATGCTGCTGCTGGCAGAAGCAGTCCGCGGATGCCGGCCCGCATCTCCAAGGCGCAGATCAGCGAGCCGTCTCTCAACCCGCCACAGGAAGTGACAAACATGCCTGAGAAGGAGGAGCTGGATCGGCTGTTCAGGCAGCTGATGGAGAGCATGAACGTGTCGCCGGAGCACGAGCAGGATCTGCTGGCCATGTCCGACGAGCGCAAGTGGAACCTCATTCGCAAGAACGCGCAGAAGAAGGAGGCCCTGCCGCCAGACTACTTCTGCGACCAGCTCAGACGCCACCTCGACCCAGACCTGCGCAAGAAGCGCGTGAAGAAGGAGAAGCTCAAGGGCCTGGAGCCCACCTTCTCCCTGCTAAAGAAGCTTGAGGTGGCCCTGCGCACCAACCACGCCGGCTGGACGGAGGAGTTTTGCGACCACCCCAACACAGGTCACCTGCTGCTGGTGCAGTTCCTAGAAGCCCTGCCCGCCATGCTCGAGTCCAAAGCAACAGCGCCCGCGCTGATGAAGGAGGAGGAGGAGCACCACTTGTGCGTGCTCTGTGTCAAGGCGCTCATGAAGCACGACTACGGGTTCCGCAAGGTCGTGCAGGAGGCAGGGTTCCTGTACAGGATTGTGCGCTGTTTCACAAGCACCAACCCGCGCACGCGCGTGGCGGTGATGCAGATTATGGCCGTAGTCGCCAACAACCCGAGCGGGGGCGCCGTGCGTGCGGTGGAGGCGTTCCACCACCTGTCGCTGCACCTCGGTGACACGGCGCACTTTGCCTCTGTGGTGGACCGGTTGCGAGAGGACAGCATGGACGAGGACCTGAGCACGGCGTGCATGACGTGCTTCCTCAGCATGATCAACAACGCCCCCGACCTGAACATGCTCGTGTATGTGCAGACAGACCTTGAGCAGGCCGGCATTGCAGATGTGCTGCCGGCGCTGGAGAACCACTACAGCAACAGGGTGCGCGGGCTTGTTGAGGAGTACGCGAACAAGATGCTGAACGTGGACTCGATTGTGAGCTCGAGGGACGAGCAGCGGGAGCTGTATCTGCAGGCGTCTGACCAAGTCAAGGCACTGCAGGCGACGCTGGACGACGTGACGAAGCAGCGCGATGAACTGCGGCAGCTGCACAAGGAGGCGCAGATCAAGGCCAGCGACCTCCAGGACAGGCTCAAGGTCCGAACAGGGGGGGGGGGGGAGATTTGAGGCGGGGGGGGGGAGAGAAGGCAAAGGGTTGTTGGTGTGATACGGTGTCACTGAACTCTGTTGTGCTGCTGGTCAACGGAGGTGCACCTGATTGCCTTGTCATCACGCACTGACATACTCACACTCACACTCACACTCACACACACTCACGCAACCACACACACACACACACACACACACACACAACCACACACACACACACACACACACACACACACACACACACACACACACACACACACACACACACACACACACACACACACACACACACACACACACACAACCACACACACACACACACAACCACACACAACCACACACAACCACACACCACACAACTACACAACTGCACACATAACC